TAACTCAATAGCCAAAATTCTGGGTAGTTTTTTTATGTCCATCATTATGAAAATATTGTAAATCCGAAATTGCCTGCTGAAATTGATTTTTTCAAAAACTATTTCGGCTAACATCTTTACTGAGAACAACAACTAGAGTTGTTAGTCAAAAGGTATAGTTTTGACAAACAATTAGGCATTTCAACTGTTGAATATATTTGACAAGGTCACTTGATTGGTCATAATGTCAAAACATGTCAAAATGTCGAAAGTCTAAATTGATGTTGAAAGTCTAAATATTTGTCAAAAGTCTAAATACTTGTTGAAAGTCTAATTGATGTCAAAAGTCTATTATTAATGTCGAAAGTCTATTATTATTGTATAAAACTGACTATTTGCACCACCAATAATATTAGTATTAGTAAATTTGAGAATGGGAGCCAACTTTTTAATAATAAAATAATGTGGGGTTTTTTTTGTTTGAAATTAGCTGATTAATTGTATATACACTAAAAATATTGATTGCATTCATCTTTTATCATTGATACAATGTAACTTCACTGTGACACACAATCTCCAAGGAAATTTAATTTTTCTTCCAACATTCAATTCAATCTTCATCATAGAAAAATATAAAGTTTGTGATTTTTTTTATGAATTATTCCCAAGATGGTAGCAACCATCATCAAAAGTTGCAGCCAGTATCCTTAATTCACTCAGTCGTCGGAGGAGGGATGATATCGTCCTTCGGTCGAATCCCTCGAAGTATCGCCCCTTCGTGGCTCATACAAAAATTCCATTTACTTGGACCTCTGGTCCTATTATTTACTAAGACCAAAACTTTTTTTTTTATATAAAACCAATTCTCTTTTTATTATTTTACTAAGACCACTAAGACCACTAAGACCAATATAATAAATATATCAAAAATAAAATAAAATCCGCCAAAATCATCAAAATCAACAAAATCACTGTCCCTAGTGGCGGTCAAAACTGGTCCTAGAGATTTTAAAGCCCAAACCCCAAATGAATAGGATTTCCTGTATAAGTTATAAGAAGCGGACTCAAAATAAATTTTTCGCCGCAAAGATAAAAAACGCAATTGAATTAATCTGCATAATAGGTATTACAAAAAAAAATTTATCCGAATACCAAAATTAAACAAATCCGATATTAGTATTAGTAAAAATGTCATCCACTAATAATAACCAACCCAAGCGTCGACCTATCAATGATCCTAATATTTCTACATATTATGATGATTTACTTGATTTATGTATAAGTCCACAGCTTCGAAAAACGGTTTACGCATTCATTGGGGCAACAATAGCATTTATTCCTGGCGCTAAACCAATGTGGATATTCAAAAAACAAGATATTAGAGGAGGAATGCGATATGATTACGGCCCAAATCATGGAGTAGGAAGACAATTCAAGATAAAAATAAAGAGTGATGCAGATGATGAAACTGGTTTTCCTGT